AGAGAGAGAGAGAGAGAATTTTTAATATTTATTTTTTAGTTCTCGGCGGACACAACATCTTTGTTGGTATGTGGTGCTGGGGATCCAACCCGGGCCGCACGCATGCCAGGCGAGCGCGCTACCGCTTGAGCCACATCCCCAGCCCCAACTTTTGTTTTAAATTATATTTTTCAGCCTCAATGTGAAGTCAAGGAAAATGCAAGTATCTGAATCTGAATTATGATTAAGACCATAATACATTAGCTTTTTAAAATTATTTTTTTTTAACAGTAGAATATATTTTGACATATTGTACACAGTGGAGCACAGCTTCTCATTCCTGTGGCTGTATATGGTGCAGAGTCACTCCAGTAGTGTAATCATACATGTATATCGGGTAATAATGTCTGTCTCATTCTACCATCCTTTCCCCCCCACAGCCCCACGCCTCCCTTCACTCCCCTCTACAAAAACCAAAGTTGTTTCATTATTCCCTATCCCCCATACCACTACTGATTAGCACCCACTTATCAGAGAAAACATTCGGCCTTTGGTTTTGGGGTAATGGCTTATTTCACTTGGCATGATATTCTCTAGTTCATCTGTTTACCTGCAAATGCCATAATTTCATTCTTCTTTAAGGCTGAGTGATATTCCATTGTGTATATGTACCATATTTTCTTTATCAGTTCATCTGTTGAAGGGCATCTACTTTGGTTCTGTAGTTTAGCTGTTGTGAATTGAGCTGCTGTAAACATTGATGTGGCTATGTCACTGTAGTATGTGATTTTAAGTCCTTTGGGTACAAACCAAAGAATGGGATAGCTGGGTCAAATGGTGGTTCCATTCTAAGTTTTCTGAGGTATCTCCATATTGCTTTCTATGGTGGTTGCACCAATTTTCAGTCTCACCAGCAATGTATGGGTATATCTTTTCCCCCACATCCTTGTCAACACTTATTATTGCTTGTATTCTTTAATTGCTATTCTGACTGATGTGAGATGAAATCTTAGAGTTTTGATTTGCATTTCTCTAATTGCTAGCGATGATTAATGTTTTTTCATGTTTATTGATTGATTGTATTTCTAATTCTGTGAAGTGTCTGTTCAGTTCCTTAGCCCATTTATCGATTGGGTTGCCTTTATTTTATGTGGTGCTAAGTATTGAACCCAGTGCCTCACACGTTAGGCAATCACTCTACCATTGAGCTACAGCCCCAGCCCCTGTAATAACTTCATGAGACTTAGAAATTTAAATTGCTAATGTAGTCTTTAGTACTGTAAACTATTTGTTGTGTATTTATCACATAAATTATTTTCAGATTTTTTAGCTTTTTTTTTTGACCCTGACCCTTTTTGGTCCATTTAGTTTTTTTTTTTTTTT